TCCTCCCACCAGGAGTGGCGAGAGACGTTCTGCATGACGAAATAAAGCAGCCTGATTAGAGTGGTTAGTCTAAAAAGTCCCCATATAGTTCCCCAAAATAACACTGCTACCACCGGAGGCCACGCGTCGCAAGAAGCACTCTCCGAGCACTCAGGAATTTCGTCGGGGCCGTTCTTTTCAACCCACGGACGATGAAGTGAGAGGGCCAAGTACATGACCCAAACCAGCATCCCTCCGGCCAGAACACTTGAACAGCTTACCGCCTAATGAATCACATGGGGGTGGAAAAGGGGGCCTGGGAGGGGGGGGGGGGGGGGGGGGGGGGGTTCCGGGGGTGCCGAGCAGGGGGGGGTGGAGAGACAGAGCCAAAAAATGACTCAAACGGGACAGCAGCCGTCAGGGGACGTTGACCAGCATGGCAGGGATTACGAAGGAATCAAAGTGGGAGGAGATATGGAAGAGAGAGAGAGAGAGAGAGGAAGAGGAGGAGGAGGAGGAGATGGTTCTTCTTCATGGGGCTTACCTTCTTCTGCTTCACCTGCCCACGCTTGGTCACATTGCTGCTGTACTTCTCCGACTTCTTCTTGCGCAACAGGTTCGAGTTGGCCTGCATGACCATGACGGGGGGGAGGGGGGAGGGTGAGTATGTGTATATATAGAGCGAGAGAGAGGGGGGGGGAGCGGGGAGTGGGGGGGCGACATACCATGGTGGTTGAATGAGTTGGGTGTGGGTGGGTGTGGGTGTGGGTGTGGGGGGAGGGAGGGTGGGTGGGGGGAGGGCTGGCTTGGGTGCTCGGTCGGTCTTTTGGTGGGATCGGTGCGACCTGGAGTCGGGTGGTCGGTCAAGGGTGGAGGTGGTGAGGAGGGAGATGGGGGAGAAGGGGAGGGAGAGGGGAGGGGGGAGGGGGAGGATTGATTTACAGGTTGTTGTAGTGTCTTGGGATAAGATGTTGGTCGGCTGAAAGTAGAGCCGTGCAGCTCGGGATGCAGATGATGGCTTGATGCCAGTTACACTAGACCGCGTTGATCAAGATCGGGCGGGTCAGGTCGACGGATCGGCAGCAGCATGGTCTGGCGTCGCTGTGTCGTCGTCGGTAGGGAGTCCAAGCTGTGCAAGGAGCGGATGGAGCCAGACTTCGTCAGGAAGCTTGGCCCAAGCCGGCATGCGCGAGGTGTCGACCGGCACGGTGGCCATAAAGGCTTTGATCTCGGCCACAACTTTGGGATCCATCCTCTCCACCTCGGGCACAGGAGGAAAAGAGGCCTCAAACGCCCCGTCCACCACCTCGGTAGCCGGTAAGTCCCATCCAGTGGGTCCGCCGACGCTGCCACCAACGTCGCCCCCGTTCATCGCCGCCTCATCGCCATCTGATCCAGACCAGCTGCCGTCATCTCCGTCCAGCGCAGCATACCCCGCATACCTCATCGCATCATCGCCATCATCGCCATCATCTCCATTACCAGACTCGCTTCCATGGCCAGACTCGCCTCCCACGAACACCTCGTCCGCGGCATCACCTCCAGCGCCACCTGCCGCCACCGCCACCCGTGCCCCTGCCAGCACCGCCACCGCCTCGTCCTCACCCATAATCTCGCCGCCTCGACCGGCCACCTCGGCGTCGACGTCAACTAGCCTCCGCCCGCCCTCGGCATGCTCCTCCTCGCTCATGCGGGCCTTGGATGCAGAGCCAGGTGTTGCTGCTCACGCCGCCCGACGCACTCCGAGTCACCTCGCTGCGCTGGGGCAACTCGGTCGCCGCGGCAAGCATAGCCACGGCTGCATCCTAGCGCTTCACCGACAAAGGCACGAAGATGCTTTCAGTGGCCCAAAGCGATGGCGATGGCCTGCATGCGACCCGAGTCCAGCTCAACAAGCCCGGACCGATCCGGGCTTCAACAGCCGGGCCCTCGGCTGAGCTGAGCCGCGAGATCTCGCCTACTACAACCATAACCGCGCCGATCTCCCACACCACCTATGGCTACACCTCCTTTTCAGGCTGCGTCTTCACGATAGCGCCAGCTTGGCTACAGCCCGTCGCATCCGTCGTTGTCCATCGACAGCAGATCAAAGGAAGAGGCTGGGCCGACGATGGAGACGGCTTGGCCTCCTGCCAAAGCCATCACATACCTTGCATTCCCATTGTCGGTGATGACGATGGTACTCAATACGCTTCACTCATTACTTGTTGCGCGTCAAGATGATGACGATGAACGAGGTAAAGGCAAAGAGCCAGCACACGGCACGGCACACGGCAAGTTGAGCGTTTATTGATGCCATTCATTGCATGTGGATGAAAAGATGGTTGGAGGAAGAGCATAACCTCTCTCTCTCGCCAGAGCCTTTGTTTCGTGGCACCAGTTGCTGAACAGGCACACGGTTACCATGAAGTCCGAGGTCCGCATTGTTCTTGTGGGCGACTGTACGTAGAATGGTGTCCCCTCCCCTCCCTCCCCTCCTCCTTTCCATATGGTGTTATATGTTATCGCTGGTTTGTATCCCCCTCCTCCCCCCCCTCCCCCCCTCTCTGTTCGTGGTGGTGGTCATGGCTGTCACCGGTGGACGCGACATGCTGTGAAGCGTCAGTTGGTGGCCACTACCCCCTCCCGCCCCCACGCACACGCCTTCCATCGCCATTCTCTCCCCACATCCAGACACACTATAAGAACCACACACACATAATCATATACGTATTCTCTACACAACCATATCACTCTCGTCACACTCACCCTCTGCTCCCTCCATACTCCGGTGGTTCCCCCCCTTACCCCACTCCCCCCCCCTCACCCCACTCCCCCGTCTCCCCGCCTCCTCCCCCTCCCCTCTCGGTGTTCTTCTGGTTGTCGAATCGAATAATGGGCAAACAGCTGGAGTCGGCAAGTCCTCCTTGCTCGCCACACTGCTGACAAACTCGTTCCAGGTAAGCATCATGGGCTCTCTGCCTCTCTCTCCCGTATCTCCCATGTTGCGCCCCCCCCCCCCCACCCTCCTCCCGCTACCCTTCCCCAACTGACTGCGTATCGTCCATCACATCACCACAACTCACACATGCATATCCTTCTTCTTTGCGCACAGACCGAGGTACCAAAGGTGGTAACGCGACTGGTGGTCAAGCCCGGGACGATCAAGAAGGTCCCGTTCACGACGTACATTGTGGACACTTCGCCGGATCCGACGGATCGGGTCGTGCTGCAGCAAGAGGTCCGTGCTGCGGATGCGGTGTGTCTGGTGTATGCAGTCGACTCGCCACAGGGCGCCCAGGAGGAGCGTATGGAGTACTGGCTCGATGTGGTGCGGTCGCTGAATCCGGCTGTCCCGGTGGTGCTGGTGGGCAACAAGGTGGATCTCCGGCCTGAGGGCTCGCTCGCGGCGCGCAACCTCAAGCTCGAGCTCCGCCCCCTGATGAACCGACACAAGAACGTAGAGATGGTGGTCGAGTGTTCGGCCAAGCGGCAGCTGAACGTGCAGGAGGTCTTTTACTTGCACACAAGGCCGTTCTCCACCCGCTCTCGGTCATCTTCGACTCGGACGCGTACGACCTGACGCCGCCGGCGCTCCGTGCGCTCACCCGCATCTTCCGGCTCATCGACTCGAACCGCGATGGTATCCTGTCCGACGCGGACGTGCAGGCCTTCCAGGCCAAAGTCTTTGGCCGCGAGCTCACGAGCGACAAGCTGGCCGAGATGAAGGCGACCATTGCCGAGACGCTGCCGCACGGCCTCGACAACGCCACGGGCGGCATCACCCTGCAGGGCTTCCTCTTCATCCAAGTCCACTTTATCCAGCGCGGCAAGGTCGAGCTCCCGTGGACCGTCCTGCGGGCCTTTGGCTACTCGGACACGCTGGTGCTCTCGGCGCAGATGCTCGCGCCCATCGCTTTTGACTCCGGCACGTGGGCCGGCATCAAGGCCACCAAGCAGGCGGCGCCGACGCCGGGCGACGGCCCGAAGCCGCTCAAGGCGCTACCGGCCGGGCCTAATGCCACGCCGGGTGCCCAGTACGTGTGCCAGCTGTCCGAGCGCGGCGAGGCGGCGCTCCGTCACCTCTTCTCCCTTTACGACAAGAACAGCGACGGCGTGCTCACCGCCGCTGAGCTCGACGCGCTCTTTGAGACTGCACCGGACTCGCCGTTCAACTCGCCGGCGCTGCCGGAGCTGTACCATGCGGTGCCGGCCTCGGACGTCGGCGACGTGGCCTGGCCCGACTTTCTGGGCGCCATGCACCTGCTGCTGCTGCTCAAGCCGGCCGCCGCTGTCAAGTACCTGGTGTACCTGGGCATGGAGCCCGGGTCGCTGCTGAGCGCAGGCACAGACTCGCTGCTCGAGGCTGTGCCTGCAGACGACACCGCCGCCCGCCGAGTCCTTCTGGTCCCCGTCGTCGGCGCTTCCGGCGCAGGCAAGTCGGCCACCCTCTCGGCCGTGCTCAAGACCTCGGCCTCGGCCCCGGCCCGAGGCGCCGCAGAGGACGGCGCCCGCCGCGCGTCGCGCCGCAACGCCCTCGCTCTGCTCAAGGCGCCCGACTCGGACGCCTCGCTCTACGTCGCCCTCGCCAAGGTCGACGCCGCAGAGGCCGCAGAGCTCCTTGCACCCGACGCCCCGCTCGTCGCACGCGCCACCGTCGGCCTCGTCGTCTTTGATCCGTCGGCTGTTGCCTCGTTCGAAGCCGCCGTCGCCCATCAAGAGCGCCTCGCCGAGCACGGCATGCCCTCGCTCATGGTCGCCACCCGCGCAGACACCGTCCGCCTCGACCCGGCCCATCCCGTCCACGCCTACCTCGCCTCCCAGGACCTGCCCGACGCCATCCAGGTTTCCGCCACCGCTGGTACCAACTTTGAGACGCTGCTCGGCGGCCTGACCCAGCTCGCAGCTTCGCCCGAGCTCGGCCTCCCGGCCTCGCACCGCGCCGCCGCCGCCAAGGGCAAGATCGCTGTCCGCTCGCCGGGCGCTGCCGCCGCCCTCGGTTGGGGCGCCGTCGTCGTCGGTGGCGTTGTCGCCGCTGCCGCCGCCACCGCCGCCGCCATGTTCTGGCGTCGTCGTCGCTAACACAATGAACGCCTTTGTGCTTGTTACTCCCATGCTCCTTACAGCTGCAGCCGCGGAATGAGTGCCGACGCCAACGCCTCGTATTTGAGCACGCCCGGTAGCGTGTCGGCCCGGGTTGGCCCGATGTTGACCAGGCCGATCGGCCTCCTGCGCTGCGCGACCCGCCGCGCAAGACGGAGCGCCGAAAACGTGCTCAGTGTCGAGCCAACAACCAGCAGCGCGTCTGCAGACTCGGCCAGCTCGATCGAACGCTCGGCAACTGGCTTGTCGAGAAAGCCACCGAAAAGACCACCGACGGCTTGCGCGCCGCCGCCTCGTTGCTTGCGCCGCAGCTCGGGCACGGCGGGACGGCAAACGAGTCGTAGCCGAGATCGCCGGCCGCAAGCTCGGTATCGCCGTCCGGCCGTTGCTCCCGCTCGGCAGCCTCCTTCTTTCGCAGCATCTTCAGCTCGCGGTTAGCCTCGGCGTCGCCAGGCGCGCTCCGCGCAGCCTGGTCGGCCTCCAGTGCCGCCCACGCCGGGTTCGCCGCCCGCACAGCATCCTGGAACGCCTCACGCGGCTCACGTGCGCCACATCCGAGGCACTCGACCTCTCGCAAATGGCCGTGCAGCTCCAGCAGGGCCTCGGGCGGCGAGCCAGCTTGCAGATGTAGCGAGTCGACGTTCTGAGTGACGATCTGCACGTTGGCGCCGACCTTGTTCTGCTGCCAGGCCGCCAGTGCGGCGTGAATCGCGTTGGGCTCTGCTGCCTGAAAGGCGGCATAGCCCATGAACGACCGCGCCCAGTAGCGGACCCGTGTCGCCGGCTCCTCCAGAAACTCCTTGTATTGGATCGGGTTGTACTCACCGGAGCGATGCGGCGAACGGTAGTCGGGCACGCCCGAGTCGGTCGAGCAGCCGGCGCCGGTGATGACCAACAGCCGACCTCCGCCACGCCCTGCAGCGAGCACCTTCTCCTGGACCTCCTCCGCCGCAGCAGCCACCGCCACGTTGCCTCGAATCACCGCATGCTCTTCCCCAGGTGCCACAGACCGCAGCCGTCCCGTGCCTGTCGTCATCCGCCGTCCTCCGCTCGCCGCCCTCGCCGCCCTCGGCCAGCCGCTACCCGATACTCCTCGCGCTCCCGCTCGACCCGATCCATCACCGCCCATCACCGCCATTTGCGCCCATACACCTCGCGGTGAGCACATCACAACACTTCCACCTGCAGAACGGGCAATCGCTGCTGTCGTCCGCGCCCACATGTGGTCGATCGCACCGGGCAGAGTCGAGTGGGTACGGACGCGGCATGGAGGCGTGGCGGGATGGCACGAGCAGGTGTCGATGCAGATCAGCGGAGATACTGTTCCGATTGGCGCAGAACTTGGCTACCATCTCCTGCAGAGTACGTTGAACACACGTGCGTCGTTTGGCCTTGTACAGCTCAGTCACGTCGGGCGCGCATTAGCCCTTAGCAATACGGTCGTTTGGACGCGTTGTCGCGTCCCCCACTCGGGGAGCTTGGTCGAGAGCTTGGAGTTGTCCGTGGCGATGAACGAGGCGACGATGTCGGCAATCGAGACCCTTCTGGGCTTGGGCTCGTCATCGCGGGCGACGACGACCAGGTAGGTGGCCAGCGAGACACATGCGAGCTCGCATTGCCGATTGCTTTCTGTTGTGGCCCACCAGTGGCCACAGCAGCCATTAACACATTGTGCTACTCTTTAACCGCGATGGATGGACGTTGCGACGTCTGCGGAGCGTCGCGGAGCGCGGCTTGCGCGATGGACAAATGAGTCCATTCCGAACCGCAAAGGATGAGGCACGATGTGGGGAGAGGGGGGGGGGGGGGGGGTGCGCGGCCTCATCAAAATCACTCTGCTCTACGGCGAGTTATCGCTCAGCTATGAGCTTCGCCATCGGGGTGAGCAAGTCCTCGACGGCCATCGACAAACTTGGCGAGCATCTGCTTGGCGAGCGAGGCGACTTGCGTCCCGATGTGGTTGCGCTCGGGCTCTGGCGTGGCGTAGGAAGTATCGGCCGCATCGTCGGCATAGACATGGGCGGTGGTGCCGTACATGGCTTCGGGAGCGGCGCCACCGGCTGGATAGCGGCGAGCCATGCCTGCGCGCCCGCCACTGGCTCCGCCGTAGTACTTTTCGGCGGCGGCGGCGGAGAGGACGACGACCTCGTCATCAACCAGGGCGGCGATGCCACGCTCGAGCTCCGAGTCGTCGAGCTCGTGGCCGGGCGCTGCCTCGTAGAACTTACCGCCGACCTGGAAGATGGTCTGGTACTGGCCGTCCGGCGTCTGGATCCGGCGTGAGTAGACCAGATGGTCAAAGACGCCGTTGGTGGCGTCCGAGGCGCCGCGGAACTCGGCCTCGCCGGCGGCGTTGAGGCCGGAACAGCCGATGGCGTTGACAACAATGCCTGCGTTCTGTGCCCGGGCAATGGCAGACGCCACGTCCAGCCCATCGGTGTAGCTCGTCTGGCTTGGCGCGTCACCGATGAGGTACATGATCTTGAGAACGTCAGGCGAGACCCGCCAGGCCATGTCGAGCCCTACATGGAGGCCAGCACCAACGTGCTCCGGGTAGTCGCCGCCACCGCGTGCGCGAGCGCTGCCTAATGCAGCCTTGATCTGAGGCACGTTGGTGGTGAGCGGAAAGGCCTCGATCATGTCCTGCCCGTCGCCGACGTCGCGATAGAAGACTGCGCCCATGCGGAGCGTCGGCGGGACCGTGGCTGTTGACTTGGCCGCTGCGGCCTCGAGCTCCGCCATCTCGGCCTCAAGCTGGGCGGCAATGCGAAGGACCGAGTTCTTGACTTCGGCAATCTCATCAGCCATCGATCCGGTGGTGTCGATGACAAAGACGACGTCCATGGATCCCAGCGCCGTCGGCCCGTCGACCGCGCCCGACTCGGCCCACTCGGGCTCGCCGCGCGCTTGCAGGACAAGCGCGGCAATAGTGGCGGCCAACACCGCCCATACCGCATACTTCCAACCGGTGTTCGTCATGGTCTTGCTCTAGTGACGTCTAGCGATGTGTGCTGTCTGTGGCTGGGCTGTCCGATGGCTTTGCGCAGATCGGACTCGGCTTTTGTTCGGTGCGCGAGTACGTGACGTCAGAGGGGAGTGCAGAAGACGGGCAGGCGGCGGGGGGGGGGGGGAAGGGGTGATGTCAGGCAAGACTCGGCGTGCGTTTTATATAGCTCTTGTTTGTAGGCTAGAGGTGGCGATCAGAGCCCATTGGCGAGGGGCGAGAGAGATCAGGGTTGAACGGATGGACATTGAGGTGTGGCGGAAGCCGTCGCCAGCGTCGCCGTCACGTTGCCCGGCGCGCAAGCGTTCACGTCCATCTCTACGGCAATCACGGCCGCCGTGTGGCGACTAGAAGCTGTCTCTTGGGCGAGTGGCTTTACTTATCGGCACAATGCTACGGCCTAATTGGCCTCCGGCACATCGGGCGGGCTGGGGAGCGGCTAGCGGCAAGACGAGTTTCGTTTCTGCCGCTTGGGAGGCGATGGTCCCGTGGCAGAGTTTGAGCTCTCGGGCTCCGGATCGGATGAGTCGGCGTTGCGGCGGCGGCGGCGGCGCGGACGCGGGCGGACGGGGGCAAAGAGATCATCGGCCGAACCGGGCGCTGGGTTCCAGCTCTCGGTCTCGTCGTCGTAGATGTAGGCCGGCGACGAGGCGAGGTCATAGGCGGCATCCCACCATGGCTCGCGGAGATGGCCATTGTACTCGGGGTGGGCCTTGATGACGGTTGGCGTCGCCATCTCCATGAAGAGGGTGTTGAGCGGGGTGTTGTGGTCCATGACCTTGTTCCAGATCAGCTGCATGCGGTAGTCCTCAAAGGCCTCCAGCGAGGTCTGCCGGTAGCAGAGGCCGACAAACATCAGCGGCATCCACGCCATCTCGTCGACGTGGAGGAGGAAGCCTCCCGTGGCCTCGGCGAGGGTCTCGTAGAACGGCGCAGTCTCTTGGGCGCCGCCGACATGACGGCGTACAGCGTCACGCCATGATCTTGCAGCGCGGCCATCTCGGAGCGCCAGCAAATGCCGAGGTTTGTGTACGACGGCGGGTGTGGGACATGATCGCCGATGACTACGACGGCGCGCGACGAGCCGGGCGTCCACTGGAACGCTGTCCGAGCCAGCTGCAGAGCATACTCGTAGCACTCGGGCGGATCGCCACCTCCGGTTCTTGCCACGCCGCCGATGAACGTCTCCAGCACGCCGACGTCCGAGGTGAAAGGGCAGATCTTGGTGACGTACGTGGCCCTTCCGTCGCAGTAGTCGCCGTGCGCCACCACGCCGATGCGCAGGTGAGGCAGCTCGGCAATCATCTTGGCCACAGCCTTGCGCAGCTCGGCCTTGACCGCCACCAACGACTCGTACATTGATCCTGTGGTATCAAAGGTAAAGACAAGCTCCGTTAGCTGTGGCTCTTCCTCTCCCCGCCCACGGCCTCCTCCCGATGACCCAGCTCCGCCATCGCCACCTGTCCCCTCGTCGGCCTCGATGGTGGCCGACCCCGAGCCGCTGCCCGAGCCCGACATGGCCTCGAGGAACGCCTGCAGACGCGATGCCATGCTGGTCCCTCCACTTTGCGCCTCTGCGATGAGTGTGGTTGCTGTGAGCGCAAGCGTGGGCGTGGGCGTGGGCATGCGACAGAGGCCGTGTCTGCTCGCCCTGGCCTCCCCTTCTATTTCCATCTGGCGCCAAAGCATTAGTGGCGGGCGAACGATTACTGACTCGTCCCATTATCAATAATCGTTCGTTCGTTCATTCCTTCGTTCGTTCGTTCGTTCGTTCGTTCGTTCGTTCGTTCGTTCGTTCATTCCTTCGTTCATTGTCATCGTTCGTTCGTTCGTTCGTTCGTTCGTTCGTTCATTCCTTCGTTCGTTCGTTCGTTCGTTCGTTCGTTCAAACTCGCTCATTCGTTTCCAACTCGTCGTTCAAACTCGTTCGGTCGGACAGAGCGAGCGAATGAGGAAATTGAGCTCGCGCGAATGAGCAGGCAACTGTTTTTCATTTCACCTCTCGTCATTTGCTCGTCATGGTCAAGCTTACCACTGTGAAGCGCCTGGGCGCAGACATCCTCAAGTGCGGTACCAACAAGGTCTGGCTCGACCCGAACGAGGTTGTCGAGCTTGCCTCCGCCGGCTCGCGTACGTTCTCCTCCTTCCCTATGCCCCCAACCACCGTGCCTACCGCGCGGCTGGCCTCCGATGCTGACGATTTTCGACGGATCCACCTCGGCCGCCAGCAGCGCAACCCTCGCTCCCACCGGCACCCACCACCCCCCACCCTCCCCCCAACCGGCTACCCACCACCACATCACCATGGTCTCCCTCCACCCCGACTCGGCGTCTCGGAATCCCATCCTCCCACCTGCTACACCCTCGACAACCGCGTCGGTCGCCGGCTTGCCTCTGACCAAAGATTGGTTTTGTTTTGTCTGTTTGCCACTCACCACACACTCTCTTTCCCCCCCCTCTACCACCTCCTCATACCCACAGGCAATGCCGTCCGCCGCTACATCAAGCTCGGTTACGTCGTGAAGAAGCCGTCGAACGCTGTCTCGCGTGCCCGCATCCGGGAGCAGTAAGTTTCCCTCCCTTTCCTACACATGGCCACCACCATGCTCCCCTCGACTCGCCTTGTCTGTCTGATTTGCGATGTCGTGACGGGGCGCCCCCCCCCCCCCCCCCCCCCCTTCCCTTGTATGTATGAGATAGAGAGAGAGACATGGGACTCACAATGTGGATGATGGTATGTGTGTGTATACAGCAACCGCAAGAAGCGCCTTGGTCGCTACACTGGCTTTGGTCACCGCAAGGGTACCGCTAACGCGCGTATGCCCCGCAAGACCCTCTGGATCCGCCGCCAGCGCGTGCTCCGCCGCCTGCTCCGCAAGTACCGTGCCGCCGGCAAGATCGACAACCACCTGTACGTCTATTCCCTTTGTGCTCCTCCCTCTTCTTGTCTTCCCAATTGTTTGCTGTGCGTCGTCGAGCAAGGTACTTTTCGGTGATGATTAGTATTTTATCACGACAGTCTTCTGAGGCATACCTGTCCTTGAAGAAAGCATAACCTAGCTCACTCTGAGATTGGTACCTTGCTTGTCGACGCACCGGTCACACTGCCCTTCCTCCCCCCTCATGACTCGCCCGCACTCACGTCCTGCAACTGGGACCCTTTTTGTCCAATTGTCTGCTGCATGGACCTGCACACAGGTACCACAAGCTGTACCTCCAGTCCAAGGGTAACGTCTACAAGAACAAGCGCGTTCTCATCGAGCACATCCACTACGAGAAGGCCGAGGCTGCCCGCTCCAAGGCCCTCGCCCAGGCCGCCGAGGCGCACAAGAACAAGGTTCGCGCCGCCAAGGCCCGCCGCGCCGAGCGCAAGGCCGCCAAGGCTCAGGCTGCCCGCGAGGCCTACGACCGCCAGGTTAAGGGCATCAAGGCTTAAAAAGACAAACAGACCATCATCGACAATGTGTGCGGGGGGGTGGTGTGTGTACTCTACTGGCTGGCCAGCATCAGGCGGGACAGCTCCTTGGCGATGCACGCGAGCAGTGTTGCCGGCCGGCGCGAGATAAGCCGCTCGAGGTGCGGCGAGATGAGATCGAGGTCGCCAGCAGCCGAGGCAGCGTCGTCCGCTGCCGCCGCCTGCAACTCGCCCGCCGCAAGCTCGCCGAGCTCGGGCGCAGAGCCGAGGACCTGGCCCAGCGCGTCGGCGAGCGCAGGCCCGGTCACGACCGACGGCCCGGTGAGAACAAAGGTCTTCTTGGCATGGGCCACCGGGTTGGCAAGGACAGCGCCGACGGCAGCGCCGACGTCACGCGCGTCGACGTACGCGCCGCCGCGCTTGGCCATCATCAGCCGGCCCTGGTTCAGCCGCGGCGCAGTCATGAGCTCCTGCAGCACCGGCGCGCTGCGGAGGACCGTGTACGCCAAGCCTGAGTCGCGGAGCGCCATCTCGGCAGCACCGTACGCCGCAAACAGCGGCTCGCATCCCGAGCTCTCCGGCGCAGCCGCCGCGAGGTGCGAGACGAGGACCACAAAGACCACGCCCGCGTCGACCGCCGCCGCCGTAGCAGCCTTGACCTGCGCCGCTACGTCGCCGTTGCCGTCGGGAATCACAACAAGGTACGCCACGTCGCGCATGGCACCTGCAAGCGCATCGACGCTAGCGTCCCACGAGATGTCGCGGACTGCCGCGTCGCCGCGCGCCACCGCCGCCGCCACATCGGCCTCGGCAAGCGTCGCCTCGGCAGCCGACGCCACTGGCGGCGCCACAAACAGCGTCATGCTCGGCCGGTCCGACTCGACCGCCGCCACGGCGTCCGACAGCGCACCCACAATGCCTGCCGAGACCTCGGTTTGCCCCGCACCGAGAACCAGCACCCGCACCGCGTTGGAGATGGTGATGTCGCCAATCTGCTCGGCAAGCGTCGCCCGCATGGCCGCGCCCGAGCCGCCTGATGACGCCGTCGTCGTCGATGTTGACGGAGCCGTCGCCAGAGGCGTGGTCGTCATCGTCGACCCGGGCGCCGGCCGCCACGACGCACTCGCCCGCGGGCCGTACGACGGCCACATGATCGACTGCGAGAACGAAGGTTGGTGGTAGCCACCGCCGAGCGTCGCATTTGCCCACGACGAGTCCATCATCATTGTCGAGCCTGCCACCATCGAAGCATCGGCAGTAGCCGTCGTCGCTGTCGCCGTCGACGCAGCCGATGCCGATGCAGTTGCCCCGACCCGCGACGACGACACCGACGCCACGGGATACGCGGCCAGAGTCGACGAGTTAGCTGCCGAGATGGGAGGATGAACGACCGACTGCCGCGTAGAATACGGGAGACCAGCAGCCGAGAGCGGATGGTAGGGACGGTACGAGTGGCGAGAGAAGTGCGGATGAATCTGGTGATGGTACTGCCGATGCTGATACCGATGATGGTTGTTGTTGACGTTGGCGGCAGTGTTGGGATTAGGATTGGAAATGACATTGGCCGTCGTACCAGCCATGGCGGGCGTTGCGGCGGTAGTGGTAGCCGTGGTAGTTGTGGTGGTGGGAAGGCGAGGAGGATAGAGCGGCAGAGACGGAGTGTGATGATGGTGGTACATGGCCGCACCACCACCACCACCACCACCGGCCGAGGCAGCAGCGATGTTGTTGACGGTGTTGCTACCAGTGGTACTGGCAGTGGCACTCGTGGTGGTTGTCGTCGTCGTTGTCGGTTGGCCATACCCCCTTGCATACCCCCCTCCATAATGACCTGCATACCCACCACCACCACTACCACCACCATTGGTACCTCCTCCATGCCTCATGTGGTACATGTACCCACCACGCCCGTGCATTCCGTACCGCCACATCTTGCTGCGGTTGCACTCAAAGACAGTCACGTGTGTTGCTGTGGACGTGGAAGGCCCTGGTGGGCAAGGTAGCGCCAGGGTCGGGGAGAGGGACGCTCGCCCAACGCTTTGCCTCGGTTACCCCCTTCGCGCCTTGCCGCAGTTTCTCTTGCCTTGGCCACTGGTGACAGGTAAGCGGGAGAGGGGGGGGAGGCATGGGCATGGGTATGGGCATGGGCATGGATATGGGCATGGGTATGGGCATGGGCATGGGTATGGGTATGGGCATGGGCATGGAGCGGATCGGTGGAGGAATCGGTGGAGGTATGGGGATCAGGAAAAGGGGATGATCTTGGCCTGCGGCTGGGGCTGACGCTGCGGCTGGGGCTGGGGCTGGGGATCGGGCTTGGGATCGGCGTAGGGATCGGGATGGAAATGCGGATAATGTGATCAGTTCCCCTCTGTTGGTTGGTTTATCGGGGGGGGCAGAGGTGGGACGTAGCGGGCGATGGTCAATCGATCACACTGAGGAATGCAACGTGACGAGGGAGGTCAACAACAAGTGCGATGGACGCAGACAGAGGCATGGGCATGGGTATGGGCATGGGCATGGGTATGGGCATGGGCATGGGTATTGGCATGGGCATGGGTATGGGTATGGGCATGGAGCGGATCGGTGGAGGTATCGGTGGAGGTATGGGGATCAGTAAAAGGGGATGATCTTGGCCTGCGGCTGGGGCTGACGCTGCGGCTGGGGCTGACGCTGCGGCTGGGGCTGACGCTGCGGCTGGGGCTGGGGCTGGGGATCGGGCTTGGGATCGGCGTAGGGATCGGGATGGAAATGCGGATAATGTGATCAGTTCCCCTCTGTTGGTTGGTTTATCGGGGGGGGCAGAGGTGGGACGTAGCGGGCGATGGTCAATCGATCACACTGAGGAATGCAACGTGACGAGGGAGGTCAACAACAAGTGCGATGGACGCAGACATACACCTTGAGGGCCGAACGGATCATATTTGATCCATTGTTAGCCCGCAGCGACAATTCGTCATGTCCCACGTCTTGCGCCTAAGCACATGGACGCCATATCCACAAGCTCCGATGAGCTCCATGCAATGCCGAGCCTGTATCGAGGAAGCTCCCGCAGGTAATCGGCCGTAGATCAGTATCGGCCGACAACGAGAGGGCGCACTGACTCGCGAATGTGGGGTCCTCACATAAAGTCCCATGACGACGAGTCCGAGAGCGACTCCATGAGCGAGGACGAGTCGGAGGCGGTGCTGTCTCCGTCGCGATCAAACGAGGGCGAGCTAGTAGTCGATGGCGAGGCATCATGCTGCTGATGGGAAGCTGCCGGGACGCGGTGTGGAGGAGCATGACCAGCACCGGCTCTCGAGACGCCCGCGAGGCCCAAAGGGACAGAATCCGCCGCATACTGGCAGATGGCCTTAAGCGATTCGGCGTAGGCCTCCTCCTCCTGAGCCAGCTCATCCGCGCAGAGCACCGACCGCGACATATGCAGGTACGCGCCCGGTCCGGGCATCACCGCGGGTCCATATCGATGAGCCATACCCGTTTCGTCCTCTTTCTGCTCTCCACGCGTTGAGTATGCCTGTCGCCACCCGTCTGCTTACCACGTCTGGCCCGAGGCGCCAAACTGCGGCTGCACAGCCGACAACGGCCCGAGGGCGGGGCGAGCCGGCAAACGCTACTACTGCCATCCAGCGGCTGCCACCTACCATCACAGTCAACAAGCTGGGGAAAGCTGTTGCAACCGTCTTGCGATCAGCTCAGACGGGCCCGATCGCGACCAAGGCTGCGCTCAGGCCGCTCTGCTCGAGCCCACTTTCCCCGATCGCGGTCGCAGCCGTATCCCATCGTCCCTTTATGTGCACTCCCCCTCCCCATATAAACCACATGTACACGCCTATCTGCACCCGCTTATCAGCACCTCATCACAGCTCCACCATAGCCAATCAGCGTCCATTGGCACGCCCCCTCCCCCCCCCCCCCCCCGCGATAGCACGCCCATCTGCCATCTGGGGCTCATCTGCTTTCCGGCAAACGAGCCAACCACCACACCCCATCCTCCACACAGCTTGCAATGATCAACAATAGCCACCATGCAGATGTGTGTGTTTTGGGGGGGGGGGGGGGGAGGGGGATGGCGGCTGGCTGACCGGCCGCGCGAGGCAAAGAGCCAGTGACGGCAGGCAGCACTGGTCCTTTTTCCCCTGTTTCCATCCGCCACCACTTCACCCACTTCGCCACCATGCTGAACACCTTTGCTCGTCGTGCTCTTGGCCTCAAGCCCGTTGCTGCCACTGCTGTTGCTGTACGTCCCCCTCCCCCCCCCCCACACACACACACACGCACACATACATATGCATACACACAGTAGAAAGGGGGAATATATCATTGAATCTGATATGGCTATATGGCGACATGGCTAGACATATGACCATGATGATGGGTGGGTAGGTGGGTGGGTGGGTGGTTGGGCGGGTGGGCCAAGGACAACGCGACGCGGCACTGTTTTTTCTTCGGTGCGCTCCACCCACCACCCACCACCACCACCACCACCACCAGCATACCCGTTGTCGTCGTCGTCGCCGCTGTCCACACGCACACTCTTTCCCATGGCCTTTCCGAAAGGGGAGAAAGAGGGTGGGGGAGGGATGAGCGGGGAAGGGGGGGGGGAAGGTGGTGTGAGAGAGTGACTCACAAGTATGGGGAGACTGGTCGCTGAATGGGGGCATTTATTTGGGTGGTGGCGCTGGGTGGTGGGGTCGGTCATACTGCTGCGGCTGCTCATACTGCTGGTCATGCTGCTGGTCAACATACTGATTATGGTGGGGCTACTCCTCAACCTCGTTCTGCTGATGCTCGTCATCATCCTGCCCTTCATCGTCATGCTGCGGCTCGTGTAACTACAGACCCGGTCGATGTCGCTGCTCCGCAAGCGCGTCGAGGAGCTCATCCCCGAGAAGCAGGAGGAGGTCAAGGCCGTCCGCGCCGAGAAGGGCGACAAGGTCCTGTGCGAGGTGACCGTCGACCAGGCGTACGGTGGTATGCGTGGCGTCAAGTCGCTCGTGACCGAGACTTCGCTCCTCGACCCGCACGAGGGCATCCGCTTCCGTGGCCTCTCGATTCCCGAGTGCCAGGAGCAGCTGCCCAAGGCTGCCGGTGGCGACGAGCCGCTGCCTGAGTCGCTGTTCTGGCTCCTCATGACCGGCGAGGTCCCGACCCAGGCCGAGGCCGAGTCGCTCACGGAGGAGTGGAACGCCCGCTCTGAGGTTCCGGAGCACATCAACAAGATCATTGACTCGTTCCCCAAGACCCTGCACCCGATGTCGCAGCTCGTCGCTGCCATCGGCGTCCTCCAGGAGGGCTCGCTCTTTGCCAAGGCCTACGCCGACGGTGTCCACAAGTCCAAGTACTGGGAGACCACCTACGAGGACTCGATGAACCTCATTGCTAAGCTGCCGAACATCTCGTCGCGCATCTACCGCAACACCTACCACAACGGCGACGTCATCGCCTCGCCCGGTGAGGACTGGGGTGCCAACATTGCCGCCCAGCTCGGCTACGACTCGCACGAGGTCAAGGAGCTGATGCGCCTGTACATGTTCCTCCACTCGGACCACGAGGGCGGCAACGCATCTGCGCACGCCACCCACCTCGTCGGCTCGACCCTTTCGGACCCGTACCTCTCGTTCACCGCGGGCGTCACCGCCCTCGCCGGCCCGCTCCACGGCCTCGCCAACCAGGAGGTGCTCCGCTGGCTCAACGTCGTCATCGACGAGGTCGGCGGCCTCCCGGTCTCGGACGAGAAGCTCACCGAGTACATCTGGGACACCCTCAACTCGGGCCGCGTCGTTCCGGGCTACGGCCACGCCGTCCTTCGCACCGACGACCCGCGCTACACCTGCCAGCAGCAGTTCGCCCTCAAGCACATGCCCGAGGACCCCAAGTTCAAGCTTGTCAAGCAGCTCCACGAGCTCGTCCCGCCCATCCTCACCTCGATCCCCAAGATCAAGTCGGGTGCCGCCAACGTCGACGCTCACTCGGGTGTCCTCCTCACCCACTACGGCCTCACCGAGGACAACTACTACACCGTTCTCTTTGCCACCTCACGCGCCCTCGGTGTCCTCGCCTCGCTCACCTGGGACCGCGCTCTCGGCCTCCCGCTCGAGCGCCCGAAGTCGTACACCACCGAGTGGATCAAGAACAACATGTAGATCGTGTGTACGGTCACGTAGCTTTTCCAGTACATCCTCTGCTTCTCCGCCCTTGCTCCTGCTCCTCTCCCCTTCCCGTCCACACATGCTCGGCTTTGTTACTCCACTCGCTCCATCTTGGCCGCCGCCCACTCGCCGCCGGCCATCACCGCCTCGATGTCGTCGACCTCGCGCGGAACAAGGGTCAGGTTCTCGATGCCATCGCTCGTCACCACCACATCGTCCTCAATCCGCACACCGCCAAAAGTCCGGTACGCCGCGAGGCCCTCCTGGTTGATGAACCGGGCCTGCTCCGGCGTCGCCAGCGCCTTGTCCAGCGCGCAGTCGATAAAGTACACGCCGGGCTCCACAGTCACCACCATGTTCTCCTCCAGCACCCGCCCCATCCGAAGCGAGGCCAGGCCCGGGCGGCTCGACCGGCTCTCACCAGCAAGGTACCCGCCCACGTCGTGGGTGTCGATGCCGAGCAGGTGGCCGAGGCCGTGCGGCATAAAGGTCGACGCCAGGCACGCGTCCATCATCTCGTCGACCGAGCCAACAAGAATGCCCGCCTCCACCAGGCCCTCCAAGATGGTCCGCTCGGCAAGGAGGTGCATGTCCGGCCAGCTCACGCCTGGCCGCATGGCATCCTCGACAGCCTTGACCGACGCCAGCACAATGTTGTAGATCGTCTTCTGCTGCTCCGAGAACTTGCCGTTGGCCGGGTACGAGCACGTGATGTCCGCGCCATACCGCGCGTACTCGCCGCCCATGTCAAACAGCAGCATGTCGCCGTCGCTAATCGGCGCGTCGTTGGGAGCGCCGGCGTGCCCGTAGTGCAGCACCGCAGCGTTGGTCCCGGCCCCGCAGATGCACGTGTAGCCCACGTGCCGGTGGCCGCCGTAAAAGTAGCAGTGGTGCATAAAGAGCGACTCGGCCTGGTACTCGTACATCCCGGGCTTGACCTTCTTCATCAGCTCGACGTGCGCTTCCGACGACACCTTGCACACGTACCGCATCACCTCCAGCTCCGCAGGCGTCTTCACCGCGCGCAGCTGGATCATGGTCTGGTGCAGGACCTCGGACTCCACCGCAGCGCCCACGTCAGCCAGGCCATCAAAGCTGGCCCCGACCACCGTCGATCCAGAGTCGGTGTTGACTCCCGAGAGGACGTGGATCTTGCGACCTTCGGCATCCGCACCGACAATCGGCTCACCACCGGCCGAAGGCGTGAGCAGCGCCGCAGGGAGCTCGTCGACGTAGCGGACCTCGTCGACGGCGTAGAGGGCGGCAAAGGCGTCCGGACCCTGAATGGGGCCCATCCACACCGCGTACGACTCGGGCAGCGCGGAATGTACAGAATGGCCTTGCCGGTATCGATCTCGATGGCACCGTAGACATCCGGTTCGCGCACACCAAAGGCCCAATGGAAGAACGACTCCTGGCGGAAGACATCCTCGTGATCGGTCGAGTAGTGGAGGACATCGGCCGAGCCGCCGCCCTGGAGCAGGACAATGTCATGTGATCCGACACGAGAGTCTTCGCGGAGGGCAGCCACAAGTCGCGCACGGTTCGCCCCATGCAGATCAGCCATGTTGATGCGGAGCGTGTTGTGCCCACGCCAGAAAACAGGCTCCACAGCTCCACTCTCCTCGCTCCGCACCACAATGGACGCTGCCTCTCCGGGGCGACCAGCCGTGGCCTTGGCCGGCACGCTTGTCATCGTCGTCGTCGTCGTCGTAGTGGTAGTAGTCGTAGTTGCGGACATAATCAAGGTTCTTGCGAATGTACGTATGTATGTCTGTCGGTCAGTCTTCTTTGGGGAAGATAATGTTAAGTGTGCCCATCTCCCACGTCCCTTCCGACGCTGTCCTTGCTCGCCCTCTGTGTCTGTGTCTCGGTCGGTCTGTGTGTGATCGAGCTGGTGGCGATCGACCCGTTTTCGCAACGCACGTCACGCCCTCGTCACACAGCGCAAGAGCTCATTGGACGCGGAGCAGAGACGGCGGGGGGAGGGGGGGGGGGGGGAGTGGAAATCGAGGAATTTGCATGGTGGGCTAGGCGAGCGCGATGTGGCGCGGGAAGAAGAACTCGTCGGTGTTAACTGATTAGCTTGGTTAAAGACGGCCGACGTACTCGACGCCGAGAAGGTCAAAGGTCGAGGCCATCATGGTCAGCGCGGCACGCACAATGAGCAGGCGCGACTTGGAGACCTCGATGTCGTCGAGATCAACGACCTTGCAGTGGTGGTAGAACTCGGAGAAGGCGGTGGAGAGATCGTAGAGGAGCTCGCACAGGCGCGACGGGAGGAGGGTCTCGAGCACGTACTCGATCTCCTCGGCGAAGCGGGCGATGGTAAAGGCAAGGCGCTGCTCGGACGGATGGGTGAGGATGAGGTCGGCGGCGCCGGTGGCGGCCGAGGCAGCAAAGAAGGCGTCAACGTCGAGGACCGACGAGAGGCGCTCGGTGCCAACGCGCAGGATGGAGCACATGCGAGCGTAGGCGTAGAGGAGATAGACCGCAGTGTTGCCGCGGGTGTCAAGCATGCGCTCAAAGGAGAACATGTAGTTGTTGAGGCGGTTGCAGCGGAGGTCGGCGTACTTGATGCACCCGTGGCCGATGGCATCTGAGGCCTTGCGGATCTCAGCATCGTCCATCGACTCGGCCTCGCGGGCGGCGGCGGCCTCTTCCTCGGTAAGCTCACCTGCAGCAAGCTGCTCGTCGATCTTGGCGAGCCGCTCGTCAAGCTTGGAGCGGACGAGCTTCTCGGCACCCTCAACGGCGGTGTCGAGGAGGTCGACAAGGCGGACCACGTCGCCGGAGCGGGTCTTGAACTTCTTGCCGTCCTCGCCGACGACGACGCCAAAGCCGACGTGCTCGACGCGCTTGTCGTCGGCCGAGAAAAGGCCCATGTGCTGGCCGCCCTTGTAGATGCACTCGAGGTGCGAGGCCTGGCCCGAGTCAACAACGTACAGGATCCAGTCGGCCTTCTCCACATCGAGGCGGTACTTGAGAGCCGCAAAGTCGGTGGTAGCGTAGGTGTACCCGCCGTCGGCCTTCTGCACAATGAGCGGCTTGGGCGGCGCGTTGGGCTCGCGCGGGTTGACGATCCAGAAGCAGAGCGCACCGTTGTCCTCGGCAAGGACCGAGTTGTCGAGCGAGGTCTGCGCCGCGACCTCGGCCGCAAAGGCGTCACGCCGCTCCTTGATGGCCTCAGCGTCCTCGTCCTCACCTGAGGTAAAGGTGCCGACAAGCGGAATGCGCTCCTTGATGAGCTCGACAGTGTCGGCAAGCTGGTCGTGGTAGAACGACTCGCCCTTCTCGTGGGTCGTCACCTGAAGGCGGTCGTAGATGCGCTGGAACTCGACGCGCGAGACCTCGCAGATGAGGTTCCACGCCTTGAGCGACTCCTCGGAGCGCGACTGGAGGGCAACGACCTCCGAGTACGCGCGCTGGGTAAAGTCCGGCTCGGCATCGAACCGCGCCTTGGCAGCACGGTAGAAGGCCTGCAGGTCCGAGATGTTCGGCGGGTTGTCCACAAAGTTGGGGTGCTCGTCCTTGAGATGGGCAATGAGCATGCCAAACTGGGTGCCCCAGTCGCCGACGTGGTTCGTCCGCGCCACGTCAAAGCCGCAGAACTCGAGAATGCGCGAGATCGACTCGCCGATGATGGTCGACCGCAGGTGGCCGACGTGCATCTCCTTGGCAATGTTGGGCGAGGAAAAGTCGATGACCACCTTGACCGGCTTGACCTCGGCCGGCGGCGCAACCTTGCCGGTTCCGGCGATGTTGCGGAGCTCGCGGACGAGGAACGAGGTGGCGACACGGAAGTTGATAAAGCCCGGCGGGACAACCTCAACCTTGTCCACCACACCCTCGGTCTCCGGGTACTCGGCGAGCTTGGCGGCAATGGCATTGGCCACATCCAGCGGCGACTTGTACAGCGCCGCATCAGCAAAATCGGTCTGCTTCTTGATCATGGCATTGAGACGAAGCGCCACCGAGCACTTGTACTCGGTATCGCGCTCGGGCACACCCGACGACGCCGCAGCCGGTGCTGCCTCCACGGGCGTAGCCGCCGGCGAATCGGGCGACTCGGCCTCGGCCGCGGCCTTGTCGCCGCCCTTCTTGCCCTTCTTGCCGCCCTTCTTGCCCTTCTTCCCCTTCTTCTTGGCCTTCTTGGCAGCACCGGTCTTGTCCTACACCACAGCGCATCATCCAGTTTCCAGTTTCTTCCATAAGTACAGTAGGGGAGGAGGGCGGCGGCGGGGGGGGGAGGGGGGAGGGGGGAGGGAAGGGGCCACTCTGGGATGATCCGCCGCCACGGCGGCAAGTTCGTTGGAGGCTCTGTGGGTAGGGGGTATGGGGAAGGATAGGGATATTTCATGGACGTACACGGTTGAGGCTGTTGTCCCCAGTGTAGAAAGGGAACAGCTCAGAGAGTGCTCGGTTCACAAGCATGTTCAGAGAGCCGAGCATGGAGGTCATGGGCTGAGGCATTGTGCTGTCCGACATGGTTCGATCGAATCGAAGCAGAGGAATGGTGCCGTGTCAGATTGGTCTCGCCAGCCGGCGACAATCACCTGCGAGATGGACACGCAATGAGAGTGGGGTGCCGAGGTACACGTTTGATCGGTTTGAGGATGCGGGGGGGGGAGGGGAGGGGAGGGGGGCGGACATATCATGGTACATAGTGGACGCGCGGGGAAGGGTCCTTGATAGCTCTCTGTTCACCAAAAGGCAAAGGGATTGGCTCGCGGCGGACGCTCCTTGAAGGGAGAGGCAAAGGCCGGGCGGCGGGAGGCCGCCGGCGGCGCTGACGATTCTTCGGCGGGCGCCGAGTGGGAGGCGGCGATGAGCGAGCGGGCTCGGGCGGTGCGCGAGAGAACGCTGCGTGTCGGCCGATGTGCGCCAAACAGCTGGGCATTACGGAGCTCGGAGCGGTCGTTGCTCGCATCGTCGCCGTTGTCCGCGCCCGGCAGAGCGAGCGGGCGGAGGTTCGGGTCCTCCTTGATGACAATGGGCCGGTCGAATGGGCCAGCATCGCGGGCGGGCGGTGGGAACTCTTCCGGGTCGCGGACCATGCCAGACTCGGAGAGCAGGACCGAGTGATGCAGCGAGCCGCCGCCGCCGCCAAGCATCGACGCGCCGCCGAGCGCCGAGCGCGAGAGCCGCGACGAGGCGTCCAGATCAGCTGTGGCCAACCGTGGACGAGCCGGTGTGACCCTTGCCGGTGACGCCACCGCAGCATGCAGCTCATCGGCTCGTGAGCCAGCCAATGCCACCACCGGCGCCGATGCCAGCGGGAAGGGCGAGCGCGAGAGACCCATGCCTGGTGAGCCCGGGGTGAACGACCGCACGCCACGCCAGCCACGGACAGCCGGGGTAAAGTGCGGGTCAATGACATCATCTCCAAGATCCACAGATCCAGACCGAGCCCGTCCACCTGGCCCTCCTGAGCCGGAGCCGTGACCCGAGCCACCCGTGGCAGCCACAGGCCCTCGGCTGTCACCCCTGCGGCCTCTCTGTGGGGTGGCCGCCACGTACGACGCCACCGACACCGACATCTGTGTCGGTGTCGGTGCACGACGAATCTGACTGGTACTCGACATCCTCGTCTACCTCTTCCTTCCTATGGCTGGGAATTGGGCGAGAGTGAGGTGGAGGGCGGTGGCCTGGGAGGAGGGGGGGGGGGGGGAGGGCGGTGGCGTGGGTGATTGCGCGACACGGCGCCAAATGGTGCCAAAGGTGGAAAGCAAATGCGCTGGCTTAGGGGAGGGCGGGACGGCGGAGGGGATCGGATCGGGATGGGTGGGGATTGGCCTTCGAGTTGGGTTTGCGTGTGTGTGTCGAGGGGGGGGGGGGGGATCGGGTTCAGAGAAAGTGGTCGTGGGCAGTCGGGCAGGCAGCTGGAGAGGCCATTGGCTCGACACTCAACTCGGGCAGGTAGAGGAGAGAGGCGGAAGAGGAGGAAGTGATGATTCGGGCGGTGGCGGGGTCTTGGCGGTGTTGGCTGCAGGGAGGAGGTGGAAGGAGCTTGGAGATGATCGTCGCCGGCAGAGCGGCGGGCGGCAGAGAAGCGGGACCGAGCAGCGGCAAGCGGCATCGCCACAAGGTAGCCGAGGATGAGCTGGAGGAGACGTTTCTGCACGGATCGGGGCCTGGCGGGCAGAAGATCAACAAGACGCAATCACGGGTCCGGCTTGTTCATGCTCCTACAGGCCTCACCGTGGTGGTGCAGGACACCCGATCCCGCGAGGCAAACAGAACCATTGCGAGGAAGCGTCTCGCCGACAAGGTCGAAGCCCAGCTCAAGGGCAACGCGTCGCGGCTCGGGCGAAAGGCCCAGCGGAAGAGGCGGCGAAAGGCCAAGGCTGCTGCTCGTGCACGACGCAAGTACGCCGATGCTGGCGATGCTGAGGCCGAGCCCGGTCCCGAGCCGCGGACAGACCTGGTCCCACGTCAGGCCGAGTAGTCGCGTTTATGTGGGCGCGGCGAGAGCGCGGCTAAAGCTTGCTCCGCCTCCCGCCGACGGCAGCACGATCGTCGACGGCGGCAAACGACCTCGGCGCCGGGCCGACGTACAGCTGACGCGGGCGGCCGATGACTCGTGTCGAGTCGGAGATCATCTCCCGCCACTGCGAGATCCAGCCGACGGTGCGGGCGACGGCAAAGAGGACAGTGTACATGTCGCGCGGGATGCCGAGGGCCCGGAGAATGATGCCCGAGTAAAAGTCGGTGTTGGGATAGAGGCCGCGGGAGACAAAGTACTCATCCTCGAGCGCCACCTTTTCCAGCTCGAGCGCCAGCTCCATCAGCGGGTCCTCCCGCTGCAGCTTCCCGAGCAGCTCGTGGCAGTACGACTTGAGGATGCGGGCCCGTGGATCGTACGACTTGTACACCCGATGGCCAAAGCCCATAAGGCGGAACGAGTCGGACTTGTCCTTAGCGCGCGCCACGGCGGCCGGGATCTGATCCACACTCCCAATCTCCTCGAGCATGCGGATGACGGCCTCGTTGGCGCCACCGTGGGCCGGGCCCCAGAGCGCGGTGATGCCCGACGCAATGGCCGCGTACGGGTTGGCTTCGGACGAGCCAGCAATACGGACGGTCGACGTCGATGCGTTCTGCTCGTGGTCCATGTGCAGGATCATCCACACCTCGAGCGCCCGCTCGGCAAGTGGATCGACCACGTACTCGGCGCCCGGCTTGGCGAAGAGCATGTGCAACAGATTGCCGCAGTGAGAGAGCGCGTCACGCGGGTAGACAAACGGCTCTCCCACCGCAGTTTTGTACGCCATAGCCGCCAGGGTCGGAAGCTTGGCGATGACCCGATACGCCGCCGCCACCTGATCGCCGGCGTCGAAAACGTCAAGCTTGTCGTGGTAAAACGCCGAGAGCGCCCCGACCACGCCGACCATGATAGCCATGGGATGAGCGTTGGAGAGAAAGCCGGAGTAAAAGTGGATGAGCCGCTCGTGAACTCGTCGCTCGGCCACGAGCCGGGCTGAGTGCAGAGCCTTTGCCTTGCGATCGGGCAAGTCGCCAAAAAGGAGCAAGTACGATACGTCATCAAAGTCGCCATCAGCCGCCAACTCCTCGATGGCGTAGCCGCGATGGAGTAAAACACCGCGAGGACCATCGATGTAGGTAATGGCAGACGCACATGAGCATGTGGCCTTAAAGCCCGGATCGTAGCAAAAGCACCCTGTCGCGCTGTACACTCCGCGGACGTCGACCACGTCTGGCCCCGAGACGCCACCGTACACCGGCAGCTCCGCCGTCTTGCCGTTTGGCAGCGTCAGTCGTGCCGTACCCACAACCCGTCCTCCACGCGGTGCTGCTGCCATGGTTGCTGGAGTAAAGTCTGCTGGCTGTGGCTCTGGCTCTGGCTCCCCCCCCCCACCCGTGCCGCCCGTGCCACCGTGCCCCTGACATGTGCCAAAACCCCCGCACTGCTACAGGAGCCAGTCCCCGCTTTGACGGTGTTGGCCGCGAGATGGGCAGATTTTACAGATTATAGTGGGCGACGGCACGGGTACAGGCTGGCCGCTGCTCACTGGGGGCCAAAGACATCGCGCGGAGACACGGTCTTGCCAGGCTTGCGCTCCTTCCGCATCGTCGAGGCGCGCGTCGGCTTGGGGAGGACAATCTCGATGCTGGACATCTTGAGAGGGGGAGTCTCACACAACTCTGGGTCGTCCTCGATGACACAGCCAGTCTCCTTCATGGCGCGCTCGTGCTCCAGGTAGATGACCGAAATCACGGTCGGAGCGGGGAGGCCATGAACGACATTGCAGATCTCAGGGTCGGCGCATCCGTACTCGCACACGTCGTCGTCGTCATCATCCCGGGTGCGTTTGCGGCCAGTGATGGAAGACGGTCCTGGCGGCGAGGACGCGTGCGAGTGAGCACTCAGCGCGGCCCAGTCCAGAGGCTGGGATGGCGGCGAGGTAGCCGGCACCGGTGGGCCACCAGGTCGCCGGTACAAGCAGAATCTTTGAGCGGATCACCACCCAGGTACTTGACAATCGCCTTGAGCTGTGTGGTACACGGCTGGGCGCACGCGCTGGCCAGGGTACCGTGATGGTCGCTCAGCATGGCCTTGATAGCCTTCATCGCATCGGCGCCGCTCACCATGACGTCATCCCTATTCCACTCGGGGCTGAGCACGCACAGGAAGATCTGGATCATCTCAGGCTTGAACAAGCGAAGTGCATTGGAAAAGGCGTCGTTAGCCTTGCCCTTCTGGGGTCCATACGTGGGGAGAAACGTGTGCAAAGCAAGCAACAGCTGCCGGGACAACTCAACCACGGGCATTGCGTCCAGACCAGCGATGTCCTTGAATACCCACACGAGAAGCCCAGCGAGGGACACAGCTGCGAGGTATTCTTCGGATGTCTCATTCAGTGTCGCAGACGAGGCCTTGGATGAGGTGGAAGACTTGGTCATGCTGGACTGGACGGCGGGGGGGGGGGAAGGTGAGCAAGGTTTGGGTGGGGGGTGCCAAAATATTTTTTGTGCTGCACACACACCCTTGGCCAGCTTGGTTGACCATTTCGCCGCACGCCGGTTGACGGGTGTCTGGAGCCACCACCTCGAAAACAAAGAGCGGCGGAAAACGGGCGAGCGAACAATGTCCCCGAGCCAACCGCCACCTGCTGTACATCCCACGAGGGGGGGGCATGGAGACAATGGCCTACCACAACACCACCAACAGGTGCATGCCGTGACGCACATGGAGGGAGGAACATGGCCGACTACCATGGCCATCCACCATCACTGCCACCCCCACATCCACACCACGTACATGCTCTGTAACCGAGTGAGGTGTTGGCGAGTTGGGGTGTGAAGATTCTTGCCCTATGGTGTGTGGCATGGTGGGGAAGCGAGGCCATGGGAGGAGGGCAGGAGTGAGGAGGAGGGAATGGTGACGGAGAAGGGACCAGGCACCCAGAGGACGCCCATGGGGTGGGACTGTGGCTTGTGGATGGACTGTGGTGGAGGGTGATGAGGGTGCGGGGGGTGTGTGTCGTCACAGCAAAGAATGACCGGCTTTCTACTGCTGCGGGTGGGCGCAGGCAAGGAGGGAGACGACGGCCTCGTGTCCGTGCAGCACAGCATGGGTACCGGAAAAGCCGGTTGGGGGAGGGGGGAGGGTGGGTGTATCGTACGGGTGGTGTAGAGGTCATAGGGAATGCATTATGTGACTTTCACCTCTACGGCGCGTATACTTGCCGCGCTGTGGCCATGGGGGGCTCGGCGTGGTCGCCAGGGTGCCGTGGTGTGTGTTGTTAACCTTGCGGAGGCGTCAGTGGCAGCAGCGGCGTCGTTTTGGCGTTCAGACGGCTGCGTTCGCGGCCGTGCGTCGATTGGCAAGCAAAGATGGCCGAAATCCAACGATTAAACTGGAGAATGACGAAATGAACGAGTGATAATCGAGTGACAAATAATGGAACAAATGACCAAAAAAATGGTGGCCCAGCCATTGGAAGGAATAATTTGCAATTCCGGGCCGTACGCCGAACGTGGCCTTCTGCGCGCGGAGAGGCACCCCAGCACCACCAGCAGACCCCTGCGGCAGCGACGAGGCACACCACGGCACCCTGACGACCACGCCGAGCCCCCCATGACCATAGCGCGGCAAGTATACGCGCCGTAGAGGTGAAAGTCGCACAACGCCTTCCCTATGACCTCTACACCACCCGTACGACACACCCACCCTCCCCCCTCCCCCAACCGGCTTTTCCGGTACCCATGCTGTGCTGCACGGACACGAGGCCGTCGTCTCCCTCCTTGCCTGCGCCCACCCGCAGCAGTAGAAAGCCGGTCATTCTTTGCTGTGACGACACACACCCCCCGCACCCTCATCACCCTCCACCACAGTCCATCCACAAGCCACAGTCCCACCCCATGGGCGTCCTCTGGGTGCCTGGTCCCTTCTCCGTCACCATTGCCTCCTCCTCACTCCTGCCCTCCTCCCATGGCCTCGCTTCCCCGCCATGCCACACACCATAGGGCAAGAATCTTCACACCCCAACTCGCCAACACCTCACTCGGTTACAGAGCATGTACGTGGTGTGGATGTGGGGGTGGCAGTGATGGTGGATGGCCATGGTAGTCGGCCATGTTCCTCCCTCCATGTGCGTCACGGCATGCGCCTCTTTCCTTGGTTGTGGTCTCCTCGACCATGGTCATGGTTGTGGTGGCCGGTGTGTACACACCAAGTGGCTGCAGAACATGCAGTCAGTCGAAACTGGCCGTTTTTTTGCACTTTGCTATGTGTGCCCTTGCACTTTTGCGCTCGGGGGCCGTACGACTGCGGGCTGAGAGTCCGTCGGTGCGGCAAGTTTTCACACTGAAAATTCTCCGCACAAGGCCGGTTGATTTTTTTCCCTCAAACCCCCCCTCATCCTCACTCACCGTCCCTCAACCTCTCACCCACCTCCAGATCAAAGATGGTCAACTCGAAGCGCGGACAGGGCAACGCCTCGGATTCACGTCCTTTCAAGCGCGCGCTTGTGCCGCTCACTCAGGGCGTCGAGGGCTCGATGTACAAGAAGAAGCTAAAGGCGCGCCTCGGAAAGGACTCTGTCCCACTCGCTGCTGCCCACGCACGTTGCTTGCAACTGGCCAAAGACAACACCGGCTGTGACTGGCCCCTTTCCAAGGGCGCTTTCAAGGACTTTGTGCGCGAGGCCTACAATGGTTACAAGGATTTCAGTGGCCTGGAAGAGGCCGTGCTTGCTCTCGAGGTCGGCGTGGTCGACATGCGCGTCCTCGCCTTGAAGATCTGTGACAAGCATCACCGAGCGACCAGGACCGGCGTTAACAAGGCCGCCAAGAAGCAGGACACTACTCCGAAGAACCTCTCTGCTTTGCGTGCCAAGATCGAGGCCAGCGTCAAGGCCGATTATGACCAGCGTGACGCCGACGAGTGCGTTGCGCGCCTCAACGCCAAGCATGACGCTCTTGTCGAGCGTTTCCTTGCCGCCATGGGGTTCGCCGACATGGACATTGCCGACATGGACATCGCTGTGCCATCCGTCACAGCCGCCCCACCTCCTTGCACCCCACACCCGGCTGCAGCGCCCGCCACCGTCGCAAGCGCCCCCGCCATCGCTAGCCTGTTGTCCTCCCGTATCAAACCACCCTGCCTCGAATCTCTCCCACCGACGTCCCTCACCGCGTTGATCGCGGTCGGCAGAGCCAGGGAGCGCCCCCAATGCCTCACAACATCCCCGGCTCACCACCACATCAGCAGCGATAACGGCCATGACTGGGTGAAGCTACCATTTTGAATGCCCTCGAAAGCGCCAGATCAGTCCCGATGCCCCGCAATCCCCTCGCATCCATTGGCTCGACCAGCGAACTTCCAGCTGCCTTCCCTGCCACCCAGCCGGCTCGACAGCCGCGGACGGAGTCGACGACCGACGGTGGTACACACGACCCGGGGAGGGAGGCTTTTTGGTGGCTGCTCTGTGGGCAATGCAAAGGACGATGTATGAGGATGGGGGAGGGTATGGTCATGCTCATGGTGGTGGCGGGGGTGGCGGTGGGAGGGCTGGCGGGTGGCGGCAGGCCGAGGCAACTGCCAACGGTTCTGGAGGGTATAGGTATGGGCACGACTACAGAAGTGATGGGCGGAGTTATGGAGGCGATGGGCGGAGCCATGGAATGGGCAATGATCATGGTCGTAGAATTGCTGCTGATGGCTCGGGCTACCACCGGAGCCAGGCTACGTCATCGGCTGCTGCCCATGCGCCGTACTCGCCCTCGCACGGCTCGCCCTCGGGCTATCAATCATATGCCGATGGAAGCGGGCGCAGGTCACGGGCGGGATACTCGCCATACGGTGAGCATGGCGGGTATCCATCGCGGTCAGCCTCGCGGCTGGCGCAGTATGAGAGCCCGAGTCGTGGTGCTGATGAGTATCGGGCGGCCGAGGCCGAGGCCGAGGCCGGTCCGTGCACGCGCCGCGGCGTACAAGGCGCAGCGGGCGGCGGCGCGGGAGAGTAGTGGCAACACACCGCGGCGTGGCCAGACGGCGCACATTCTTCCTGGGCGCGAGGTGGTGGGCGAGCCGCCGGCGCGATTTGCAGTCGGCGCCCACAATCGATCACGGGTGTCGCGGGCTCTGCAAGCCTCCTCGGAGCCGTCGCCCGAGGTCCAGGCGCTCGATGCCCAGGTCATGGCACGATCGCTGCGGCGCGAGGCCACCAAGCTCGAATCTGCCGTGGAGACGCTCCGCCATCATCTGACCAACACCGATGACGCCGAGGATCGGCGGCGGATCCAGGCCCGGCTGGCGTCGCTGCAGGCGCGGGCGGCCGAGATCAAGTCGCAGCAGTCGCGGGTGGAGCACTCGACGCCACCGCGCGTTCTCATTGGTGTGCCTGGCCGCTCGCCGTCGCGACTCTCGCATGCCCCGCGCTCGGTCGTCCCGCGCGAGGAGCAGACGCGATATGCCCGCGAACTGCAGGCCCAGGTCGAGGAGCGGTCGCGCTGGCGGCGGCTCAACGAGCCGGCCGGCGATCTCGCAGCTGAGGCCAACGCCCGCAAGCAGCGCGAGAGCTATGCTGCCCGCTGTAACGCCGCCGTTGCAGCCGAGTCCAAGCGATTCACAAAGCCGGTCGGCGTTACCCTGGAGTCGCAGCCGCGCAAGTCGATCGACATAGAGGCGCGCCGCCAGTACAAGTTGATCCTCGACGAGCAGCGCAAGGAGCGCACCCGCCTCAAGGCCGCTCCACCGCGCGAGTTCCGCCTGCCCGCCAAAAAGGCCGAGTACATGGAGCCCCACAACTTGTACTCTTTCAAGCCACCACCGCCTGATCCCGACATGCCCTCTGTGCCCAAGCCGCCGCTCGTCACTCTCGCCACCATGGCCCGCCGCGAAGATCGCCGCCCGCCGTGGATGAAATCAGAGCGCCCGTAGCAGCCCGTCTGTCGCCCGCGGTTAAACCACATGCGATGTTCATTCTAACACGCCACGGGCTACGTGCCGCCACGGGGGCGAACCTTGGGCTCCGGTGGATCCCACGGCATGCGCCGACTCTTGGGCTTGGCGCTGCCTCCGCGCCCTCGCCCACGCCCGCGCCCTCGCCCTCGCCCTTGCCCTCGCCGGCGCCCGCGTCCACGCCCACGCCCGCGCCCGCGCCCGCGCGTGCCACTGCGCTTGCGATCACTGGCATCGTCTCGCACACGGCTTGCTCGATCGGCGTGATCAGAGTTATTGCGGCTCGGCGTCCGCCCTCGACCCGTCCGCCCCGAGTTGCTGCGGCTCGGCGTCTGCTGCCGTCCCGAGTTGCTCCGACTCGGAATCCGCGAGCTTGATGCTCGTGACAGATTGCTCGGCGAAGTCAGCGAGGCATTGCTCGGCGCTCGTGAGCTGCAGCTCGGGGGTGTTCGCGCCCGAGCTCCAACTGACGAGCGCGACTTGCTGCGCGTCGGATCCCGCGAGTAACATCTCGATGAGTATGACCGATCCTGCGACCGCGACCGATCCTGCGACCGTGACCGGTCCCTCGACCGCGACCGATCCTGCGACCGTGACCGGTCCCTCGACCGCGACCGATCCCTCGACCAGGAACGAGACCGCGTCCACGAGCGTGACCTCGACCGCTCTCTCGACTGTTCCCTCGACCACGAGCAATCTCGCGATTGACTCTGTGGTGAGCTCCCCAGTGCAGCCCCTCCGCGCGCAGGCGTCTCGGGCCTCGCAAGAGACGAGCCGTGCGAGTCACTCGAGCTCGACGTCGGTCCTCGTGCAGACGACAAGCTCTCCCACACCTCCTCCGCCGGCTCGTCTGCTGCGCCGGGCGTGTTCCCGTGCCGAAAGTCAAGCGACGAATTGGGCGACGGTGCGTGATGCAGCGCCGTCTCAAATACCGTCCGCAGCGGCACGTCGTCGTCATCGTCGGCGCCGCCCGCCATCACTTCTGGGAACGTCGAGCTCAGGCCATGCTCGTCAGTGTTGCAGCGCGCCTTGCCAAACGGCGTCGACGGTGCAGACGCCATCAGCGACGCTGGCCGCCGCATCCAAGCCTTCGACCCCGGTGTGGCCGGCGCAGGCGTTGCATACAGTCGAGACGCCACCGACGAGAGCTCGTTCGATGACGATGAGTCGGCTGTCGATGGCTCAGCCCACCGGCCGCTCGCCTCTACGACGGTCACATCGGCTGCAGGCTTGGGCGTTGTCACCACCTCGGGCGCCACACGAGTGTTCTTACGCGCCACATGCGTGGCCACAAAGTATGCTACCAGGCCGAGCAAAACAAGCACAAGCAAGAGAAGAAGCCACACCACCCAAAACAGCGCAGAGGACGGGTTCTGAAGCGGTGGCAAAGGCGCAGGTGCAACCAGGCTCCCAGGCCCACCCGCGCTCGACGGTGCAGGGAATGGAGGCGCGGGAGACAGCATCGGTGGAGGAGGCGGTGGTGAACTGTCTCCCATTGGAGCTGGTGGTGCCGGCGGTGATGGTGGTGGTGGCGGCGGTGACGGCGGTGGTGACGGCGGCGGCGGCGGTGACGGCGGTGACGGTGGCGGTGACGGCGACGGAGATGGCGGTGGCGGTGACGGCGGCGGCGGCGACGGCGGTGGTGGCGGTGGTGATGGCGGTGGCGGTGGCGGCGATGGTGGCGGTGGAGGGCACAGATTGGCACCAGTGCATGTGCCAAACGCCGAGCACACGTCTGGGCCGGTACACGACGACCCGTCGTCGCATGGCGTGTTGGCTGGATCGAGCTTGCACTCGGACGAGCAGCAGTCCCCGTTGGCTGTGTTCCCGTCATCGCACTCCTCGTCGGCATCGACCACGCCGTTACCGCACACACATGTCAGCCCGCCGGACTGGACGCACTCGCCGCGGCTACCGCACACCGGCGCGCCGTAACACGGCTCTGCAAACGAGCAGTCGCTGCCTGCAGCCATGTACCCGTCGTCCGGGCAGACGACCGTGCCGCCGGCCCCCACCACGCACGCTTCAGCCACATCGCATGGTAGTGAGCCGTTGACTGGCCGACAAAGTGTGCCTACATCGAGGTACTGACACGTCTCCGCCGAGCAGCATCCCCACGGCCCGGCTGAGCCCGGATCGCACTCTTCGCCCGGCTCAAGTGCGCCATTGCCGCACTCGGCGTACGCCAGCAAGACACTCACCGTGTCGGCGTCCGAGCTCGGTTGCGTCGTCTCGTAGCCGGAAAGCACCCCGACGCCAGGCACCCTGCTCAGCACCAGGGCAAGATCGGTCGTCGCTGCCCCGGTTGCAGCGGCAGCCAACATCGGCTGCGCCGCGCCCCACGACGCACCGCAGTCAGTCGAAACCGCCACCATGATGTCCGAGTCGGTTCCGGTCCCGCCCACGTCCGCTGTTGACTGCCACGCCGCGAGAACATGCCCACCGCCAGGGTACTCGGGCATCCACACCAGACTCGGCGCCGCATCGAGCGCGCCACTGTCGTCCGCCGCAGCATAGCTGTTGACCAGCGCCGGCGCGTTCCAGGTCACCCCATTATCATGCGAGACCGCCGCGAGCAGATCCAGGTCTGATCCGAGGCTCAGTGGCCCGAGCGCCGTCCGAGTCGACGCCCATGCCACCGTCCACGTGCCGTTGCCAGCCGTCGCCACCACGGGCTGAACGTCAAACGCCGCCGAGCCGCCCACCACCACGCCGGGCTGGCACTCGAGCCGCCCGGCATCGCCTCCGGGCACCCAGCATCGCGAGAAGAGGATGTCAAAGTCGGTCCCGTCCCATCCGGACCCATACCATGCCACGCCAAACGTAGCATTGGCCGCGCCAAACGCCACGTCTGGCCCATGGTTCGACGTCCCAGACGCTTCCATGCCCGGACTGGCGGCAATTGGCGCCGACCATCCTCCGCTGCTTGCGCCCAAGGCTGCCACAAACACGTTGCCAGCCGAAGCGTAGGCAACAAGCGTGGCATCAACCTCAGCGCCATGACACATCGCCGGCGTCAGTGCCGGCGGGGGACCTGGAGCCACCACCTGTGGTGACGCCAGCGAGACAATGCCGCTGGCGTTGACCTGTGCTGTTGACGCCACAAGCAACGGGCCTTCCAGCCATGCCAGCGCCACAGACTCTGCGCCAGGGCCACGAGCAACAACCGGGAACGCTGCCGAGACGCCCGACGGAGACGGCGGTGAGGCCAGCGGCAGCGCCATCGTCCGTCGCCAGCTCGGCCCAGCATCATCGCCGTAAGCCGGCTGGCGGCTGGTTGCGAGGTGGACTGCAGTAGTCGACGCCGACGAGGCATTGGCTAGCGAGTACGCCGACTTGAAGACAGCAACAACTGAGCCTCCCGCTTCTGTTAGAGCCATCTGTGTATCCGGCGCAGCGTCCGATGTGCCATAGTGCGGGATCATGCCCGGGACAGGAGGCAGAGGATGAAGGAGGCCATCGGCAATGCCGGTCGCATCCACCGCTAGCACCAGCCCAGATCCATCCATCACCACCAGAGCAATCGCAGCCATAACCATTGTCATCCGCATCACCTCCCCCACCATCTTGCTCATCGCCTGCCTCCTCCCTCCTCGCCTCCTCTCCTGCCTTGTCGAAGGACTGCTCCTGCTCCTTTTCCTCCTCTTCCGTCCCGCTCCCACCATGCCCACCCGGGCTTGCCTCGGCTGCATGGCGCGCGCGACGGTCGACCGTGTGCGTAAAGCCTGTCTGGTGAGTGGTGCAGGAGACGGGTGAGCCGTGCTGTATGCCCGGGGCTACCCTTCTTTACCGCACCATGGCTTCTTCCTCCTCGCCTCGCCCGCTCACTCTGTGGCACATCGCGCGCTTCCAGCGAGCTTCTGCCTCCTGGAGGGTTTGGGGGGGGGGGGGGGG